AAATAATGGAACTGGCATCACACTCCCAAAGGCCTGCTTCCAAAGTTCCTGCTGATTTTCTGACACCAGATCTCCTCCTCCGCAGGCAGATACTAAAGAAATGACACCTGCACCCAGCTCAGCCTTCAAGCCGGTGGCATGGGAAGATTCTACAGGCCCATCTGAAGGGAGGGCATGGGCATTCCTGGAGCAGCCAACAGCCTGAGCAACAGCCTGGAGGTGTGAAACATAAACCATGTTGGGGAAAGGCGAATCCCCTCACACAACTGAGTACGTGCTGTAGCAGGGGCGCAAAGTCGAGGTGTTTGGAGAAGGCTAGTGGATGAGTCCCCACCTTCCCTGCAACATGCAGTGAAAACATGACAAAGTGTACTTAAAAATGACACAAAACATCCTAAGTAAACATTTCGAATGTCTTGGGAGTTATTGTTTTATGGCAATAATCTTAACCTTCAACTCTAAATATCCTATAATGCAAACCATTTTGAGTGGAAGGAGGATTGTCTCTCTATTAGACTTTTTTTTATCTCTCTTTAAAGATACTATCTAGAGATTTAAACTATGAGATTAAAGACTAGGCAAACTAAATACCAATAATTGACTTAGGTAAATGTCAAATTTCCTATCACACCAAGCAACACTTAAGTATTTTCAGAGAGGATTTTAATATTATGTAACTGGGCTGATTTAAACATTTCTAAATGTTTTATAATATTTTAAGTTTAAAAATTGGATGGGTAGGGCCGGCCCGGTGGCGCACTGCTACAGTGCGCCGCTTGGGAAGTGCGGCGGCGCTCCCGCCAAGGGTTCGGATCCCATGTGCAGACCGGCGGCTCACTGGCTGAGCGAGGAGCGGGGGCAACACCGAGGGTTGCGATCCCGTTGCCGGTCCCGGTCCGGTATGGGCGTGACACTGAGGGTTGCGATCCGTTGCCGGTCACGAAAAAAGACAAAAAAAAAAAAAAAAAAAAAATTGGATGGGTAAAGGAGCTGTTACAGCCTAAAGTGATATGATATGAGCACTACATGTCAGGGACCAGCAAATGTGACAGCACCCAAGTAAGAGAAGAAAACCGGGTGAGGGGCATGCATAGCTAAGTGTTTCATAAATTCTCGTCAAATACCTAGAAATACTACACGCCACTACAGAGAACATATTCCGCCCGTGGTCCCAGCTCCAAACAGAGCTGAAAGTGCAGGCTCTTCTGAGTTCTCACACAGCCTTCTGTCACTGGGAGGGAGGGAGGCACTGGGCCAGGCAGGGGGCTACAGAGGGCTGGGATGTTGAGACCCGGGGGAGCCGCTCCAAGTAGCAGACTTGCAAAAACCAGGACAGGAAATCACCATCTCTCAGAAGAGCAGATGT